AAACTAAACTTCAACCAAAAGTGAGGTCAACAATCGCTCATGGTAAAATAAAAGTTTGACCTTGAAAAATAAATCATCTTTTACAAATTCATAAATGCCTTGCACTTCAAACTGCATCTATTTAAGATCATGAAATCTCAACATAAGTAATATTTCATCCTTGGTGGTTTGGAGAGAGACAAGCAGCCGTTGAAACTTCCCTCGCCTTTCATAAAACCCTAGTCATTCTATGCAAAGAAAAATCTCACAGACCATTGCCTCATTGCATCTCTGAATAGGAAATTCAATGTTTTGTTCCTAAACAACATACGATATTCCATATCGTTACTAAACACGCCTAACAGGGCTAAGATTTCCGACATCAACTTTGACCCGTACTACTTGAAGAAGACAATCAATCCAATAATGACAATCATTGCTCGATAAGAGAACTGGGCAATGCACACATCAGTGACCTTCATAATCTCTGTTAGCTTAGGAGCTGGTGGAAACTGCAAACCAGTTTGCAAGACAGCTTCATAAACGACAATATACCATGAGGGAGGGGAATATGTTTGAACGATAGCGATTGATAATTTTACCACCATATTGCTCGTAAAATAATACTTTATTCGAAACAAAATCAGATTGCTCTTTGCCAAGTTTAATGCTTCATCCTTCAAGTTCTTACTCTCCCTCTGGTTCTCGGTAGGGTGAGTTTCCCCAGATATCACCATCCCAACAGTCCTAGAAAAAGCTACGACAAAAATCTTGGAGGTCCTGCGTGGAAGGGTTGGGGATAACTTTTGGGGTAATTTTCTCCTTCTTCCCTACGAAAGAAACTGCGAAAAAAAAATCTTGGAGGTCTTGCGTGGCAAGATCGAGGATAATATTCATGACAGTTTTCTTCTACTTCCCCACGAGGGAAAATTGCGAAAGAAAATTCAGGAGATCCTGCGTGGTAAGGTCAGACATAACATTCAAAACAGTTTTTTCTTGCTTCTCCACGAGAGAAAGAAAAAATCCCAGAGGTCTTTCATGACAGGATCGGAGATAACTTTCAGTACAACATTTTTTTTTCTCCTTCCACTAACTCTCTCTCCCTCTCTTTGAAATGAATTTCTCTACCTCTTTTCCTCTATTTCTCTTTCTCCTTCTATTCACTTGTGATTCTTTCACTCATCAATGACCACTATTTATAGGCTCAAGGTGAACTCCTAGCAATTGATTTAAAAAAAAAAGAAAGAGAACTAAAAATCTTTTCATATTCTCACATTTGAACCTTCCAAATTTTCTCATTATAAAAAAAAAAGTAGCTGTTTAAGAAAAAAACTTCCAAAATCTGCTAAAAAACTACTCAGATTCTTCTATTTTCCACCATATTCAGTCTAATTCCAGAGACCCATTTTTTCGACAATAGTTTTGCTCTTGCTGGTCCAGTTTTTATGTCGATTCAAGTCCCATGGTTAAATCTAGCTCCTTGGATCCCAATTCTGCTGGATCGTCCAACCTGGGCTCACGGGAAACAACGCGGGCTCATAGGCCTGATTGGTGGGACAGTTCTCAGGCGCGTAATGACATTACAGACCAGCGGGTCCAAATTCATTAGCCCACTTCTCGGGCCCGCAGAGGACAACACGGGTCGTTAGACAAAAACGTCATTTAAATGGTGAGAGTAGGATTCGAACCTCCCACCTTACCCATGACAAACTGAGCTAAGTTCAATTGTTTTACTATATAAGAATTTATATTATTCTTATATAAATTTTAATAATGCACAACCAGCAGCTCGTTGTTTGCGAACAGCTTGTGTTCGACTTATTAAATAACTCGTGTTGATTCGGTAGCTAATCAAATGAGCCGAACACAAATAATTTTTTTTTGTGCTCGATATATATGTTCAGCTCGTTTTGAATATAATATTATTTTTCAATAGTTTAATTGACCACAACGCTACAAAGATTTGAAATCAATCAAAATTACTGATTAAAAATAAATTAAAAATATATTAAATTCTATTTAAATTAATATTTTATCATAAATAGCAAGATTTAAATCTTAACCTATCATTAAGATCATATGACCATGTGATTAGAGTTACCAGAATAGTTCATTATTTGTGAATAGCTCGTGTTTGACTCGATAAGCAATCAAGACAAACACAAACAATTTTTTGAGCTCGATATAAAAACGAGCTGAACACGAACAATGATATTTTTTAACAAGCAGAGTATGAACTCGCTCAAGTTTGGCTCGATTACACCCATAACGGCTGAATGCATGACTAGGGATGTCAAAATAGATTTTTACTAGCATTCGACTCGCTAAGCAAACGAATCGAACACGGACAGTTGTATTTTTTAATGAGTCGAACCTAACACGAGCTGAGACCTGGCTCGCTCGTGTTCGACTCGTTTACACCCATATTGGTGGTCGTTGGATAGCAGCTTCAGCGTAAGTCCCCACTGTCCTGGATTCGAATCCATTTAGGTTGAATTAGCCATATGGGCTGGGCTCGTTTTCAGCTCATTTTAGCTCGAAATTAAAAAAGAAATTATATAATTATTTATATTGTAAACTTATATATATATATATATATATATATATATATACACTATAAATGCAACCTTTTGAAAAATAAATATTCAAACTTCGATAAAAGGTCATCCAGAGCTCCGATTTCAGCAAACATACAATTGATCTGACCGACTCAACGGAATAGACCTAATGATATCAAAATTAGTCCAATCCGAGTCAAGTCAAGCTCAGATCAAGTAATTACCACTCTTGAAAGTTTTCCAAACATATTTGTAAGGTCAAACGAATACCGAATCAAACAAGTTTATAGTTGAATCGAGCGTCTCGATAAGACGAATCTAGCGAGCTTAAAATCGCTCAATTTCGACATCGTTAAGACACTCAAATATCCATCAAACACCATCTGATCGAATGACACTCTTCAAAACGTACGATCAAAATTGTTCTTATTCCTGCATTAGATGTACCCAGAACACTATAAAAATAGCCTCATCAGTCTCATTAGAGAGGAGAATAGCTTGAGATCTGAGGAAGAGATTGAAACTTTTAAAAGAATGTGAAGTCTAGCAATACCATTGCCGACCGTCATCAACCACCACCAACCGTCGTCGATTTTCGTTGATCGTCGCCCACCACCACTAATCTCGACTACTGTTGATCGTCGTCGACCACCGTCAACCACCACTGACCAACGTCGATCACAACAACTACCACCAACCAAACGCCGTCAGTCGTTATCGGTCGACGTTCGTTCCTAGCAACAAATTCATCAACATGTCGTTGTAGTAACTTGTGAAGCCTAGTAATCCTTTCCTGCTTGTGGGACAAGCAGTTTCGAATGTAATCATCACTTTATAGTGAAACTCTTCAGCTAGGCCAGACCCTTAATTTTTTCTTTTTCAAATTTTTCATGTAAAAACTTTTGGTACCATTATTAATTGTTTTCACTCTTCTGAATGTGCGTTGAATCTTCATACAATACTAAGATGATAATCTGCTATTCTACTGTCGCAAATTTTATAACATGAATCAAAGATAGCAATTGTGATGTTTTTGATGCTATTGTTAAAATTTTGATATCATATTACACATTACAACACTAAGTATTCATTCAATTTTTTTTTACCTTTCTAAATACTAGAAGTAATTTCAAGACATTTAATTTGACCATCATAAGAAAAGAAATCAGTTGCATAAAAAATTAAAACCTACTTTCATAAAATAATAATGATTGTTTATTAAATGTCTCCCTAAAAAACACAACCATAACAATTAGATATGATACATATAAGTAAGAAAAATATTGTTATTATCATTATTATTATTTAATCACTCACATCAACACCACACTCACTTAAAATCAAACTATAATTCTTACAATCCAAAGAAAACAATCATCTGCTTTATCCACCACTTAACAATTTCCTAGAAGAAGCATGTAGTTTCTGAAAAGCCATAGTTAACGCTCCCTTTTCCACTCGTACTAAATTAAAGTTAGCGGAGTCGGAATAATAATTACCGAAGAAGCAGCCTAAATGACGGCAGGTCTTCCAAACGCTGTATGTCTTCTAGCAGAAGCTCGCGCTCCAACTGTCGCCTGGTGGCTTTCATCACCGCCTGTACATTGGATGAGAACGTGAGTGGAGATTGTAATAATCTCCTGTGGTCAAAACTAGCTTGATGTAATCAATTGTATTTTAGCTAGTTCTAAACTAGAATTAGGAAAACTTACAGGCATACCTCACAATTCTGATGTACTTACAAATCTAACACCTAAAGTTTGATATTTATATTTCTGATATTTGATGTCATAAATCTATGCTTGCAAATATATATTTCACTTTCTAGAAGTTACTAACAGTGGTATTCTTTATGTATTAAAGATTTGAGTGTTATACATGTAAATATGAAATCCAGGTGTTGGATAAATAAATACAAAAGAGTATGTAAATGGCTCAAAAAATTATTGAGAAGTGAAGACTTTAAATGAGTACCATTGTAAATCATCCATTTCTTTTTATCAGATTTGATTAATGATTAAAAAATAGCAAAAAGTGATAAAAAAAATTAGTCCCATCATATATTTGAAAATTATGTAATCAAAATGAATTGGATGGATGATAGATTTCTTTTCCCCTTTGAAGTAGTACGACAGTCAACTCGACTCCGTTTGAATTTGATTGGAGCAAAAATAAAAATATAAAAATTCAAGTTTAAACCATTTTAATTAAGCTCTACCCATTATCAACCGAAGATTTGGCATGTAAATTTCTTGTTCAAAAATTTATATTTGGATGTAATCATGTAATGTGTAAAAAATCAAGGGAATTTTTTTTTTTTTTTTTTTTTTTTGCTTACATTGAAGTCCATATAGGAAGCATTCATGGTGAGCCATTGATGATCCATCAGCTTGAAAGAAATGCAATATAGAAGATCAAAGGTCCGCTCGTCTTCTGTGGAAAAATTAAGATGAAAATTCACTTATGTCATAGATTTATGCAATAGGAGAATATAAATTTAAATATAAATTTTTATCCATTGCAATTAAAATGGCTATATTTTATGGATTTATGTGTTGGCAATAAAAAATTCAGATAATCCATTCAATGCCATGAAGAAGAGAGTGCTAAAATGAATGTCCTAAAATAAAAAAAAATTAGAGCAAAAATGATTATATTATAGAGCCTGTTGGATCGGTACTCGTACAAACCATGGGCAATAGAGAATATAAAAGAAAAAAGGGAAATTTACATACATACCTACAATTCTTATGCATTTGCATATTTAACACCTAAAGTTTGATAATTATAGGTATTAAAAACCTATGCATACAAATGTGTATTTCGGTTTTAAAAGATTATTGATAGCGATATTTTTAATGTGATGTCAAAGATAGAGTGTTGTGCATGTAAATATGAAAGTTTAGTAGTTAGACCTATAAATAAATAAGAACTATGTGGGTAAATATACCAAGAGAAGAACAGGGTAGATGAGTCAATCTTGAAGAATGGGGTAGAGCAATGGAAATGCAAATTTACAATCAGACTTCTGATTCAGCTTAGTTGATGACAGGTTTGTAGTTTCTTTAACAAAATTTCAATTTTATTTTTAATAATTTAAAATGCCTATGATGATCTCAACAAAAATGAGTTATGTTCTCTAATGCTGCGAACATTTACCTCAGCGTATCAACTTGGTCTCCAATACTCATTGATTGGGTTGTGGCCCTCTATATTTGATGTGGTTCTGTATTTGGGTCAGGTTGTTGTTGTTTGGCCACTGGGCCGTAAGTAGCACTCGGGATATGCCATATTCGTCTTATTCAACGCAAGTGAAAAACAATCAGAGTTCTATTTCTTTTGACTTGAGTTTTTAGAGCAAATTGACCTAATTATACTGTTTTCTCCTGTTACAGGATTCTATAGTCTGCGCTTTTGGATTTCTATGATTGTGACTATTCAGGGACGAGTCCTGTAGCCGTTACTTGCGATTATCTAGAGGATGAGGTAATATTGCTTCACGATATTTCAACGATTTTTAGAATTATCGATCCTAATTATTTCAGGGGAAATGTTATGGCTATAAAAAGGGTTGCTGGAGGGATATACAAGAAGTTTCAATAAAATTTCTTTTAAGCTTTTGTTTTTCACCTGCGTTGAATGTGAATATTTTAGATTTTCCGGAGAGAAGATAGCCTATATGATTTGCGATGGTCTAATAACAGAGGCATTTTGGGAATTGATGGATTGACTAATAAAAATATCAAAGTAGTTCCTTGATTGTTTCCATAAGTCTATTTTAGTCCTATAATTTATAAATGCGTTAATAGGCCTAGGTTTTGTGCTGACTGTATTTGGAGTAAAACACAAATCACATGTGATTGAGTGTGCAGGAGTTTTTGAGAGAATAAAAAGAGACGTAAATAGAGATTCTCATAGTTTAGTGGATGATTTCCGGTGTTCAGTTTGGGCTTTTAGAGCAAGAAAATGATAAGTTTTCTCTTTCATTTCACATGCACAACAGTGCATGGCAATTCCACGTCGAGGAGGATTTAAGTTCAGATCTTCTAGTATACTTTAAATTCTTTATTGGTTTCACTCTAGATCGATTATTTATTTTTAGATATTTTATGCTGTATTATTTATACACCTGTGCGATTTTTATATAATTGATCAAATTATAGAGATCTTGAAGTTAATGTATTTCATCACTTTATGATTATTTTATGATTACATGGTATTCGTCATGATAGATATTTATGCATAAATGATAGATTTTTGCTAACAGATCAATAAGATGAATGTAAACGAATAACTAAAAGTAACACCGAACAATATCAAATTGAGAAAAAAAATTATGTACCTTCAAGTATCTTTAAGAACACAGCTCCCATCATAGTCCTTGGCTTTGCTGCAAGTTACAATGCTATGGCATAAGCGATGCATATAAAGACAAAATAGATGATTTTTTCATCCACTCAATTTGATGCACAAAAATCGTTTTGGCCTCTATTAAATCTAAGAAATTGAAGAAATTTATTGAGAAAAAAAACAATCACATTTTAAAGGGATGGATGGTTCTCATGAATACAAACCAGCTTGTAGGTCAAGCATCTGTATTAGCATGAATGTTACATTCACACCCGCGGCGGCAAATGGATACTCCCACAACGATCGGTTACCCACTCTTTTATGAAGAAGATCCTGAAAGGATTTCTGAGTGGACGAATATACTAAATTAGTGCTCTTTGATAAAAAAGATTTCAGCTTTCTAACTTTAACATGCAAAACGATAACAATTGAAGCATATTTTAAAAGAAAAAAGAGGCATTTAAGTACATACCACTCAATTTCTATACATTTACGTATCTAACACCTAAACTTTACTTTTTACATATATAATGCCCAAATATTTCAGATCACATCAAAAGCACTATCATTTTAACTTTTAAACAGTAAAATACATCTTTTCAAGCATAGGTAAGGTGACATGCATGTAAAAATTGTAAGAAATATAAGATTTACACTTCATTTTACCATTTAAGACTATAATGGTGCTTTAACTTACAGGAAAAGTCCTTGCAAAGAACAGCAGATTTTCTAGTGATATGAATCCTCCACCTCTGCAATCATTAACATGAGATGTTTACCTTGATAAAAGCAAAATATAAAAACCAAGCTTGCAAGAAGACAAGTCTAACGGAATACCTGAAATCTGTCGATGGGTCTTTTCCTTGCCAACCCATTTCTTTCCATTGTTCGGATATCAAACCATGTAGTTCAACTTCAGGAAATGCTATATCCCAGAGGGCCCTCAATGCTTCCTAAAATTTCCAAAATATTAGATAAGCTAAAATTCAACGTTTTAGTTGTGAACAGATTTAAATTCTGTTCAGGTTTCAAAAAAATTGAAATTAAGATTCACAAGAGTATAAAGATACGTTTACTGTCTTGAATAGATTGACAGATTATAACGCTAAAGCAATGCTTTTCTTAATTGACTAGTGATGCTAAATGCAAAATACACATGCTTATAATTCCAATGCCTTACTAGAGAAGATCAGAAAAGATTGCACTGAACCAAAACAACACATTGGTTGATCTCTACTTTGTTTCCACCTCCTGACATTGAAGTATAATTAAGTTCAGTTTAGTTGGTCCAATCTATAGTCTCGAAAGGGGGTCCACACCGACACCCTGAGAATGGTTGTTGGCCAAAAAATAACTTGATGAGCGGAAGGCCTCTTAATGGCCTCTTAAGTAGAAAAAATGGGCATACTCCCGTTGTTTCTACTTAAGAGGACATAACTCCCATGAGCTACCCCAACCCATTTGTGTTTAGAGCTATCAGTGCATTGATGGGTGCCAAAATTGAGATTATGGGCTCATAATTATAGAATAAAAATGGTAGGCCAAAAATGTCAAGTGGGCCGACATCGGCCAGCCACTGACAGGTTTTCCATAAAGGGCTTTAGTCGCATGCCAAGGAGGTGTCCATAGAACTCCCTTGGGTGGTTTATAAAATGCCGCGTGATGGGTTAAGATTTTAATTGAATTTCAATATTAAAATATCTAAATTCAACATGAAGGGCAAAGCATTGAAGGAGAAAAAATTGTAAAGTAAACCTTTGATAGGTGTTCCACAATGTAAATAGTGCTTTTATTTTGTTTCTTTACCTCTATCCTGTCAATCAAAGATTCAAAAGGCCCACATTTTGTTTCCCTGCAGAGCTAAGGCAGGAAGTAGTAATGAGAACATGATTCATATTTTTAAGATTTATTACATATTTAGCTTCATTATAAGAATAATGACTAAAATATTATGATCTCCATGATTCTTCTTTCCCATAGTATAATTTCATTAGGAAATCAAAATTTTCAATAGCAATTGAATATTATTGCATTAGTTTGTTTTCTTCCTTGCAAAAATTAATACATGCTTGTTCTTGCCCTTTATTGCATTAAATTGGGTGCATCTTATCTACAAAATCTATAAAAATAAGCATCGCATAGCTTTTGATTTAACCAAGCATTACTTTGCAAATTATATTTGCAGTAGATACTCTAAACTTTAAAACATTCTACATCATGTAGACTCATTTTACTGGGGTAAAAGTATACTTGTAAGTTCACACAACACAACTCAATATGAGAAACAAACAGTTTCTTCACCAATGCCAAAGCTAAAGATTTGGCCAGACATTTCGTCATTTTGAAATCATAAAACACATACTTGAAGGGTGTAATTTTGATTTGGGGAGCATAATTATACTTAGTACCTGGTGTTCCACCTTTGCACTATCATAAACAACACCTAATCGACTTTGTAGTTTCTGGAGACATTCTTCCTGAATCACAAATATATCCAAAAGAATAATAGTCAAGCACTCTCCATTTTCAAGTAAGCCAAAAACATATATAACAAACATTCAACACCCCATTAATGCTTTCTACATTAAAATAAAAAGAAACTCTGATTAAGAAAATCAGAAATAACTATTGAGCCTATGCAAAATGACAGCCACTATTCAAATCAAACAAAATATGTTTAAGAATTATATAGTCATATTAAGTAATTCTGACAATTTGTAAACTTGATGTAAGAAAATAGTTATATTTCTGTAAAAGCATACCCCCCCTCAATTTTGTGCGAACCTAAATATGCCAAAGCATTGCAAGTATGTACATGTCCCCTTACTATATAGAAAGAATCATGCAATGATCTACAACGAATCTTATTGTTAGTTAAATCCAATGATTTATAGAAAACTACCTGCAAAGGAGTATGCTCGAATGATATTCGAGCATCACTTTCTCTTCCCTGAGCACAAACACAAGAAAATCCTTTCCCAATCCATGCTGTTGATCCTGTGACAACTTCAGCTGTAGCATGCATGCAAGACGATAATGTATTTCCCAAAAAGTATATGCCAAAAAAATATGCCACACTAGACAAATTGATTATTTTTAATAATTTGATTAAGAAAAAACTATGCCAGTTTCTGAAAGAAAGAAATGATCAGTGTTGATGTAACCAAATCAGGTTATTGGTAATTATTATTAAAGATAAGGTAATACTTCTAGATATTGAATGCAAATATGCAATTTTTGAAAGCAGATCAAAAGTATCATTTGCAAATTGAGATATAAATAATGGGTAAAATGCATAAATAATCTATTTATATGGGGCTGCTTTAGTCCCAGTCTCTTGAACTGTTAAACTAGCCCCCAAGGCTATTTTAATATGGGCTGGCCTATTTTCGCTTCTTTTAAAAGAGTCTGGGAACTAAATTGACACTCTATAAAATGTGAGACTAAATTTACCCCAAATAAAGAATTAGAGGACCATTTTGACACTTTCCATAAATAAATCATCTCAATAAGGACATCCCAACAACTTATATGAAACAATAGAGAGTCAAACCTCTAGATGGCCTACTCATAGAGGATGCTCTTGTTTTTGGAAGAAACCCTAAATAAAAGAAATTAAATACCCGATACGTTGTGCTAGTTGTACGTTATTGTAGTCTATGATGAGGAAATGTAGGAAGTATTCAATTGAAGCTCAATTGCAATGCTTCCCTTTATTGTCATCCTATGACCTCGCTTGTTTAGACAAATGTTTTGCATCAAAACAGTTAAATTGTTCAGTCGGGGAAAAGTTTTGAGTCTTTATTCAGTACAATGACCAATTAATCAGTCCTAGACTTAGCATAATCTCAACAATAAATATATTAACTAGGAAATTCAGATCTTTTTGGGATGAAGAAATACAAAATTTAACATGGATGCAGAATGAATTCTTGAAATTAAGTTAAAGGTGCCTTAAATCTATCCGTCCGTCAAATTCCATGATTAGGCTCTATACAATGCTGTAACAATATAACATATATACATCCACAAAGTTTGACAAATAAAAGTTATACAATTTATATACCAACAACGCCAACTTGAAGTTCTAATTGTTAACACTCTTTGAAGGTGTTCTTTTAATGTACCACAGATTTCGTCTTAAATGAAGGTATAAATATTTGTGAAATTTACTTATCTTAGCACACAATTCTTATGTATTTACATATCTCACATCTAAACTTTCATATTTACATATATAGCAAAACGAGTATTTCATTTTTAGAAAGTGGCAATAATACTATTTTTAAAGTGATATTAAAAATTTGAGTGCTATGTGTGTAAATTTGAAAGTTTAGCTGGGAGATGTGTAAATATATAAGAATTTGTTTGCAAGTTGGAATATTCCGTTAATCAGAAAAAAATAATTCTAATTCTAATTCTAAAAAGTCTGTTTTTGCGTGAAATTGTCTCCAGCACTTTGCAATGATCAACAACTATACAATTATTTCAATTAGCTGACAGTCTTTTGCCAATAAAAGGAGAGTTGGTATAACTTCCCAACAATGTCTTATTTGAGCATCAAAACGTCACTTGCAATCAAAGTCAACCCAAATGATGCATTGAAACTTCAACTAACAAACGCTTGACCAGCAAAAGAATTCCAACTAAATCACTAATACACAAATAAATTTGAGATAACTACAAACGCATAAGAACAATCATAAAAAATCCAAAAAATAAAAAGTATTAAAACTCAAAACTCAAGAAATACTTCAGATTGAAGGGAGCATCAATAGAAAACCAACGCTTTTACCATTCTAATTTCTGCTAAACAGGTTGATTGGTAAAAAAAGGACAAAATTGTGGGTAAATCTGAAACCGGCTTAAAACCTGGTCTTTTTCGAGTATGTGAATACATTAAAATTCGTTCTTTGAACCAACCAACAAAATACATCCTGTCATCTCCAAATCAAGCATAACGCGCCAATTTTATCTTTTTTAATGGAGGGTGATAAATCCTAAAATATGTCACCAAAACTCATGACCTTGGAAAAATAACCATTTACTTTTAGCCAGGAGGTATCGAATCCTTCCAAATTTACCAAAGTACGTAATTTTCAATATCGCTGAACGGTTTGAAGGTAGAGAAGCCATCCTGTTGATGGGCCCTGCATGATTTCAATTTATTGCCGCACTAGCATTCAATGCTTCTTCCTTGAATTCGTACTATATAAAAAAAAAAACAGTAGCAAATGCTCTGAAGCCACTCCTTCCAATGAACTAACTTCTACTTAATTAACCCACTTCGGCCAAATCCTTTTCCTTAGAAAATTATAATGGAAATAAACCAATGTCCACTATAATATCCTGATCAATTCTCTGTACCAAGATCGATTCCTTGAAGGCGGGATCCCGCAAGACAAATCAAAATTCAAAATGTAGAAAAAGACGTGCGAATATCCCTATTTGCCATTACAATTCTTACATTCCAACCAAAAATGCAGAAGAATCGCACTGAAACCGATTAACTGTTTCTTCTAAACCAAAAAATTATATAAATCACCCTAGAACCAGAAAATGGTATCAAATTACTTTCCGTTCGTACGAATCTAAAGAACAGAACATCTTAGAGAGAATTCGCAACATACCGGAAGAGGCGCTGTAGTTGCTCCCACGATCAAGTCCCTGAATCCTCCTCACAGCCACGGATGATTCTCCTCTCTCCTCCATAAACAACGCCGTCACGCAGGCGGGACCTCAAGAACCAATCCACCCCACAAATGGGCTCCTATCAACGTTAGAGAGAGGAAGTTGGACTCAAATTCTAGTATAACGTTGGCTATTGCAATCTCAACAAGGGGTTTCCTTCGCGAAGTGAAACCCTGCGCGATGTATCTGATGGATACCTCCGTGGATCGCGACGGCTGACAAGAGAAAGGAGCAGAACTGGAGGGATGCAAGGTGTATCTTGTAAACGTACGATAGGAACGGGAAGCAGTAGCTTCAGGATCGAACCTCTCTCTATCTCTCCTTAAATCTGTACCACCAATTCTCGACCAGCACCACCTTGGATTCCTCGTCTTTCGTTACACAGTGCCTCCTTCCTCTGGTTCCCTCCCTCTCGTTTTCTGGATGGCTATAATTCTTTTCATTTTGGTACCTTAGTTTTATTCTTATTACAATTAAAACTAGGTGATAGGTTAGCGAATCAATTAAGGAATATTACGTTGATTTACTAATCTGAGTAATTGCTGTGTATCTCCTTAAGCCGAGTAAGGGAGACTGCGACAAGCAATTGCCACTTCTTTTTTTTAGGGATATAATTCTACTAGAAATTTATTTATATAATATCATAATATTTAAATAGCTTAATATCATATTATGTAAATAGCTTAATATTATATACCCATTTATTTATTTATTTATATTGATAAGTGTAAAAGTATGTAAAAATAATTATTTTTTGTGCATAAATACTACAATATTTTTTTTTAGTGTTGTGTAGAAAATTTAAATGGCAACAATCAGGAAAAAATATCAAAATTATTGCAGTAGAGTACTGTAGCAATGAAGTAGTGTCGATGCGATCAACTAAGAAAAAATATCCAAAAATTCGAGAGCTTGATACTACAACAACCAGGATATAACACCACAATACACATTAATAGAGCGCCACAGAGCCATGTAGCAGCGCTGCTGCGCCATGAACCAAAATAATTTAATTTTGACGCATTTTGATGGTTTGGATGATTTCTATGACTAAAAACACATGAAATGAATCATGAAAAAGCAATTTACGGTGCGTTTGGGGTAGCTTATGCGTTTCCAGATAAGCTGCTTATCCTGAAACACAGCCCGCGGCCTGTGTTTAGTGTAAAAACTCAAACTCAGTTTCGGATAAGCTGGCGAAACGTGCGAACTAAACGGTACGACGGCATTTTGAAAACGCTGCCCGCACTTATAAGCTGCCCCAAACGGGCCCTTATTTTGGAGGAGAGAGAGAGAGAGAGAGAGAGAGAGAGAGAGAGAGAGAGAGAGGGAGAGAGAGAGACTTTTTAAATTTATGTGAGAGCGAGTGAGTGCATTATTTTATCAAACAAAATAAGTTATTTTGGAGAGCCATCAAATCTTGGCAGCAGGATTTCGCCCATATGTTTTTCTAATTCCTTTTACCTTGTAAACTTGGTTTGAATTTATTATGCCAATTAGTGTTTTCATTTCAAATCAAGTTTATCATTTAATTGCTTCACTTCTTTTGACTGATTTTCTTTAAAATATTGGGGAATCTATGTTAGATTTTTGAACTCATAAAAGTTGTTTTAACTTTGCAATCTTAATTTACATTCAAATTATTCATTTGGATTATTAAAATTAGTTGTAATTTAGGATTATGGGAAAAAGAATAAAGCACAACTATGTTAAAGCACAAGAGTTTAAAAAAATATGAATATTGTTAGTAGACTTCTACAATCTTATATGAAGAATATGGATGTCTTGGAATTCTTGCATGTTATAAGACCCCTCAGGTTGGGGGTTCGAATTTCCTCTGACACAGTTGGCCTTAAGGAGGTGTTACTTGAATTGTTAGACACATTAGGGGTGGCTGGAGACTCATATAATAGCCTTTGGCCATATATATATACACACACACACACACACACACACACACACATACACACACCCATTCAAAACATTCACCCCAAACCCATTCAAAATAATCGTACCATTAATCATTGGTGGGTAATCTAATAATAGGGGCATCAATTTGGATCAATGAGTTGGGTTTGAGTTCTACCGGAAATTGACCCAACCTGAACAAGTTTGACTCGAACCCAACCCAATTATTATACGAGTCAAAAATTTCAATCCAAAATCGACTTGCCTTCAACCCGCCAGCCTGAAATGACCCATATAATCCATTTAACAACAACAACAACAACAAAGCCTTAATCCCACTATGTGTGTTCGGCTACATAAATCCTTTTTCTCCATTGTGTTCTGTTTGGTGTCATATTTTCATTTAGAAGATTATTTTAATGCAATATGCCCAAGTCTTTTTAGGTCTGCCTCTACCTTTCTTAACACAAGCTGAATCTAAAACATCGACTCTCCTAATCGGATCATCAGATGGTCGGCGTTTAATGTGACCAAACCATCTAAGAAGAATTTCTTTAATTTTGTCCTTCACGCATAGGAGCTACACCAACCATATCACAGATATATTCATTTTGCATTTTGTCTCTAAGTGTGAAGTCACTCATCCGCCTAATCATTCTCATCTTGGCAACACTTAACTTAGTATTATGCTTCTCCTTTAAAGTTCAACATTCAACGCCATAGAGCATTGTAGGTCTCACCACCGTTTTATAAAATTTTCCTTTCAGTTTAAGTGGTACTTATCTATTCAACAAAAGGTCCAAATCATTCCTCCACTTCAACCAACCAACCAACTTGAATTCTACTATATAATCTTATTTAACATAAGGAAAAATTTCAAATCTCCTATGGCACAGTTGGCTCTAAGGAGGTGGTGCTCGACTTGTTATACACATTAGGGATGGCTGGAGGCTCGTAAAATAGCCTTTGGTCATTCCATCACACACACACACACACGCACACACACACACACACACACACACACACATTATTTAGATACTAGAAAGTCATATAAATAAATAAATAAATAAATAAAATTTGAGCGTTATTTTTGTTAATCTTCCCTTTTAATGGAGTAAAAAATGAAAGAATGGGATCTTAAGAATCCTTATATGGTCAAACATGAATTTTAAAACAAAATATTCACCCCAAACCCATTCAAAATAATCGTACCATTAATCATTGGTGGGCAAGCTAATCAACCCACCAATGCTTGTGTTGACCTCACTTTTAGTTGAGGTATAGTCGGTCTAGTCTTTATCTTTAGTTGCCTAGGGTCTAGCCTTAGGACTTTTCTATTGACTATTCTTAGAGAACTAGAAAATTACCCACTCTTTAGAAGCTCAAACCACCTCCTGGCTTTTTTTGTGAGGCCTCATATGAGTTAACCTCTAGCACTTGGTAGGTGGGGTCATTATGGGGGAGCTCAAGGAGAGTTCCTATAGGACTGTTGGACCTTAGGGTTGACCCTAGGTGTTGGTCTAGAGCTAAGGCACTCACTTCACTCACAATCACACACTACCCTAAACCCAGAATTTTCTGACTTTGGTCCATTAAGTCTTTAGGAAACTCATGTAGATGGTCCCCTAAACCTACTAGCTCTAGGTTAGGGTTTAGCTACCAGTACATAGATGACCCAAATGGGATTTTCATTGGTCTATGGCTTACTTTTGATGGTTAGTTCCCCAATTTTACCCAAAATACTCAGCCTCACCTTTTGCCCCTAAACTCCCCCAAATTACCTAAGTACCATTGAAACCCTAAATTTGGTCAAAATTCCCAAATTTATCCAAAATACCCAAACTTATTCAAAATTCATTTCAAACCTTTTGAAAACACCCAAATTACCCAAAATCACCAAAAATTGCCAAATTACCAAAATGCCCCAAATCCCAAAAATTCCCAAAATATTCCAAATATTCCCAATTTCATTTTTTTTAAACTACCACATGACCCAATTTGGATAATTTGACAATCTTTGACCAACATCCCCCAAATTTGTCTTTAAAGGCCAAAATTTTCCTAAATTCAACTCAAATGTCCATCAATTTGATCCCAATATCCTCATATTTCAATCCCAAACTCAAATTAACCTTCAATGTTACCAAAATAAACCAGATCCAAGCTCAATTGGCCCATGCTTTGAGCCCAATTTTGATTTAGGTCAAACCCCAAATTTTGGACACATGACCTAATCTCACCAAATTGAATCCATAGCCCCCTCAATTGGCCATGGTTTATGTTGAAAAATCTTTATAACATTCCTAAACATCAAAATTGACCATCAATTGGCCTTGTTGAAGTCTCAATTTCATTTAATTTCAACTTAAGTCCAAAATCCCCAAATTGCCCCAAATTTGCTATGTCCCCAAGTCTCATCAAATTGAATGCTTTAACCACATAACCATTCTTTGAGCCTAATTTTGATCTAAACCCCAAATTTTGGCTCTATGCCTTGGTTCCCCCAAATTGAACCCCATGGCATACTCCATTGGTCTTAATTTGAATCCTAAACTCTTCATAACACTTCTACACATCAGAATTGACCTTAAATTGGCCTTGGTAATGTCTCAATTTCATTTAATTTCAACCCAAATCCAAAAGTCCCCAATTTTACTTTAAATTGGCCATGTCTCAAAACTCCACCAAATTGATTGCCTTATCCCCCAAATTTCCACTCTATTCCTTCATGAAAACTCTTCATAACATTATCCTTGATCATTTGGACCATTCAACTAAGCAAAATTCTAAGCGTAGCTCAACCTAAGCCCAAGTCTAGTCCAACATGCCAAAATTGACCAAAATCTCAAAATCTTTCAAATTGAGCTTCCAATTGAACTCAAAATCCTTTTAATCCTTCACAAAAAAATGTTCATTAAAATCATATTCATCAAGTGAATCAATCAATTGGGCTCAAGGACATGGCTAGCCTAACCCAAACCCAAGTATTTAATTAATCAATTGGACCCATGCACTAAATGTAGCCTCCCAAAACCATCAAATTAATGACTCCACAACTATTAGTTGGACCCCAAGACTAAGCCAAAACTCACCTAACCACCTAAGCTAAGCCATGGAACAATGGTCCCTTAAATCAAAGGATTTCATGTTATAATTTCTTAAGCTTAAGATTTTTTTTGCCAAAATTAAGCCTCAGCCCATTAAATTGCTGTGACATATTCCCCTGGGTTCCCTGAGCTCCTAGCCCCCTCCCCCTACCATGGCCGGCCAACCTAGTCACTGGAAAAGCAAAAATCGAGGGCCACCTCCCCTTGAACTTCACCCAAATCAAACCAATAGGCCACCTCACTGAAATGAAATGTTAGAGCCTCTCTGCTCTCGACCTAAGCACCACATTGCACCCCCCAATTCACCATGACAGCCACCCCTTAGCCATTTTTATAAGAGCTTACTTCCACGGACATGGAGGGAGTGCTAAAATTTTCTCAGAGGCCTCCCCAATTCCCACACAGAGCTTC